TCTTCAAGGAGAACTACAAGCCATTGCTCAATGAAATAAGAGAGGACACAAACAGATGGAGAAACATTCCATGTTCATGGTTAGGAAGAATCAACATCGTGAAAATGGCCATACTGCTCAAAGTAATGTACAGATTCAACGCTATTCCCATCAAGCTACCAATGACCTTCTTCACAGAACTGGAAAAAAACACCTTAAACTTCATATGGAACCAGAAGAGAGCCCACATAGCAAAGTCAATTCGAAGCAAAAAGAACAAAGCAGGAGGCATCACACTACCGGACTTCAAACTATACTACAAGGATACAGTAATCAAAACAGCATGGTACTGGTACCAAAACAGAGATATAGACCAATGGAACAGAACAGAGGCCTCAGAGGAAATACAACATACCCACGACCATATGATCTTTGACAAACCTGACCAAAACAAGCAATGGGGAAATGATTCCCTGTTTAATAAATGGTGTTGGGAAAACTGGCTAGCCATGTGCAGAAAGCAGAAACAGGACCCCTTCCTGACACCTTACACCAAAATTAACTCCAGATGGATTAAAACCTTAAACATCAGAACTAACACCATAAAAACCTTAGAAGAAAATCTAAGCAAAACCATTCAGGACATAGGCTTAGGCAAGGACTTCATGACCAAAACGCCAAAAGCAATGGCAACAAAAGCCAAAATAGACAAATGCGACCTAATCAAACTCCACAGTTTCTGCATGGCAAAAGAAACAGTCAGTAGAGTGAATCGGCAACCAACAGAATGGGAAGAAACTTTTGCAGTCTATCCATCTGACAAGGGGCTGATATCCAGAATTTACAAAGAACTAAAACAGATCTACAAGAAAAAAACAAACAAGCCCATTCGAAAATTGGTGAAGGATATGAACAGATACTTTACAAAAGAAGACATACAGGAGGCTAACAAACATATGAAAAAATGCTCATAATCACTGGTCATCAGAGAAATGCAAATCAAAACTACATTGAGATACCATCTCACACCAGTTAGAATGGCGATCATTAAAAAATCTGGAAACAACAGATGCTGGAGAGGATGTGGAGAAATACGAACACTTTTACACTGTTGGTGGGAATGTAAATTAATTCAACCATTGTGGAAGACAGTGTGGCGATTCCTCAAGGAGCTAAAAATAGAAATCCCATTTGACCCAGCAATCCCATTACTGGGTATATATCCAAAGGATTATAAATCATTCTACTATCAGGACACATGCACACGAATGTTCATTGCAGCACTGTTTACAATAGCAAAGACCTGGAACCAACCCAAATGCCCAACGATGATACACTGGATAGGGAAAATGTGGTACATATACACCATGGAATATTATGCAGCCATCAAAAACGATGAGTTCATGTCCTTTGTAGGGACATGGATGAACCTGGAAACCATCATTCTCAGCAAACTGACACAAGAGCAGAAAATCAAAACACTGCATGTTCTCACTCATAGGCAGGTGTTGAACAATGAGAACACATGGACACAGGGAGGGAAGCACTACACACTGGGGTCCTTTGGGGGCAAATGGGGGCGGGATGGGGGTGGGGAGGCGGGAAGAGATAGCATGGGGAGAAATGACAGATACAGGTGAGGGGACGGAAGGCAGAAAACCACACTGCCATGTATGTACCTATGCAACAATCTTGCATGTTCTTCACATGTACCCCAAAACCTAAAATGCAATAAAATATATATATAATAAATAAATATATATATAAATGAAAAAATTAATTAAAAAAATCAATAAACTGAATTTTATCAAAATGTAAATCTTTTGTTCTGCAAAATACTGTGTTAAGAAAATGAAAGACAAACTACAGGCTAGAAGAAATATTTAACTGCATATCAAGTAAAGGACCAGTATCTAGAATGTACTGTCAAAACTCAAGAGTTTTAAGAATAAATAAAATTAGAAAGTAAAAGGCATGGAAATACATTTTAGCAAAAGAGGATATACAGATGGCAAGTACACATGTAAAAAGATGATCAACAACACTAGCCACTAAGGAAATGCAAATGAAAAACACAAATGAGATATCTCTCCACACCTACCAGACGAGCTAAAATAGAAAGTAGTCCAATAAGCACAACAAAAGACGCTCAGCATCATTACTCATCAGGGAAATGCCATGAGATACACTTCATTGCCACTAGCATGGCTATTAACTGTAATAACAAGTGTTGATCAAGATGTGGAGAAATTAGAAACTTTATACATTTGCTGGAAGTAATATAAAATGGTACATTTACTTGGCAAAACAGTCTGACAGCTTCTCAGTAAGTAAAATATAAAGTTAGCACATGACCCAGCAATTCAACTCCCTGGGTATATACTCATAAGGACTGAAAGCATGTGTCAACAAAAAGCCTTGCACAAAATATTCATAGCAGCATTATTTATAACAACCAAAAGACAGAAACTACCCAAATGTTCATTAACTAATGAAGGGAAAATGAAATGTAGTGTATCTATAAATGGAATATTGTTTTAGGCATTAAAATTAATGAAGTACTGATACAGGCTACCACATGCATAGACCTGAAAAACATATAAAGTAGAAGAAACTAGTCACAAAAGACCACAAATTTTATGATTATATTTAGATGAAATGTTCAGAATAGACAAATCTGTTAAAACAGAAAGTAGATTAGTGGTTGCCTTGGGCTGGAGGGAATGGGTTAATTGGGAGATGATGGCTAGAAAATGCAGAATTTCTTTTTGGGGTAATCAAAATGTTCTAATATAAATTGTCATGATGAAATCACAACTCCAAACATATTAAAAGCCACTAAATTGTACACTTTAAGTAGGTGTATTTTATGATGCATAAATTATATCTCAGTAAAGCTGTCCTAGAAGTGAAATATAATGAAGGCAACAATAACCTGGTGGGAATGAGTATTTTAGTCTTTATGTACTCTAGGAATATGCTGAAGGAGGTAGCTTATCTTGAATTGTACTAGTATTTAAATTAACACCTAAGTACTGGCAGTGAAACTGGAAGTTGCAGGCAAAAGCTAGGGCAAACCCAGAAAACTTTGACTATATGTATACTTGGCATCACATAATTATGTTTTGGTCAACAGTGGATCACATATATGATGGTGGTCCCATAAGATTATGATAGAGCTGAAAAATTCCCATCACCTAGTGACTCTGCAACCATGATAACATTGTAGCATAAGGCATTACTCATAATGTTTGTTGTGATGCTGGTTTTAACAAACTTACTGTGCTCCAAGTCATGCAAATATAGAGCATATGCAATTAAATACAGTACATAATACTTGACAATAATAATAAAAAATTACTGGTTCATGTATTTACTTCACTATACTTTTATTGTTATTTTAGAGTGGACTCCTTCTACTTTTTTTTTTTAAAAAACGTTAACTGTAAAACAGCCTCAGGCAGGCCCTCCAGGAGGTATTCCAGAAGGTATGGTTACTATAGTAGGTGACAGCTTCATGCATGAAATTGCCCCTGAAGCTCTTCTAGTGAAACAAGATATGGAAGGAGAAGATAGTAATACTGATAATCCTGGCCCTTTGTTGGCCTATGTTAATGTGTAATTCTGTCTTATTTTTAACAAAAACTTTTAAAAGTAAAAACAATAAAATAAAATATAAAAGCTTACAGAATAAGGATACGAAGTATATATTTTATATAACTACACAATGTGTTTGTGTTTTCAGCTAAATGTTATTATAAACAGTTCAAAACATTAAAACATTTTTACAGTTCAGGAAGTTACAAGTTATAGTAAGATGATTCATTTATTATTAAAGAAAATTTTAAATATAAATTTACTGTAGCCTAAGCATATGGTGTTTATAAAGTTTATAGTGAGTATAGCAATGTCCTAGGTTTTCACATTCGATCACTACTCACTGACTTACCCAGAACAACTTCTAGTTTTGCAAGCTCCATTCATCATAAGTGTCGAATACAGGTGTACCATTTTTAATCTTTTATACCATATTTTTACTGTCTCTTTTCTATGTTTAGATACACAAACACTTATCTTTGGGTTACAGTTGCCTGCAGTAGTTACTATAGTCACAGCTGGAGAAATTTGTAGCCTAAGAGCAAGAGGCATACCATGTAGTCTAGCTGTGTAATAGACTTGTATGAGTCCATGCTAATGCTACTATAAAGAACTGCCAGAGACTAGAAAAGAGGTTTGACTCACAGTTCACAGGGCCGGGGGAGGCCTCAGGAAACTTACAAGTGTTATAGAACGGGAATCTAACACATCCTTCTTCACATGGCAGCAAAAGGGAAAAGTGCCAAGCAGTAGTTGGAAAGCCCCTTATAAAACCATCAGGTCTTGTGAGAACTCACTCACTATCACGAGAACAGCATGAGAGTAATTCTCCCATAATTAAATTACTTCCTATCGGGTCCATCCTATGACACATGGGGATTATGGGAACTATAATCCAAGGTGAGATTTAGCTGGGGACACATAGCGAAACCCTATCAAGGTTACACCATCTAGGTTTGTGTAAGTATACTCTATATTTGCATAATGACAAAATTGCCTAACAATCCATTTCTCAGAAAGAATCCCTATAATTAAGTGATACATGACTGTACTCAAAAGCTTCCCACCTTATGACTAGAGACCCCTTTTTCCATATCTTCTTTTTTAACACTGACCTAGGTCTTTATTATCTCATAATTGATTACCAAGATTTAATAATTGGTCTTTTTCCTTTTATTCTCTGCCCTACAAAGCTTTAGCCTACATTTACAGCCATATTTGCACATCATCTCCTTGTGAGTTAAGAAGTTCTAGTAGCATTCCACTATCAAGAGCTAAACATGCAAAGTTTTTCAGTCAAGGTCCTTCCTAATCTGGCCACCTCTTAACTTTTGGAACTCTTTAATATACTTCCCAGGTGATCTCATTCACCTCTTCTTTTTTAAACTAGCAACTAAGTTACTAATGGCTTCCATATCTAGATCTCCAATCTCAACCTACATTCATATGAGTATCCATCTCCACGTGAATGTCTTCCATAGTCACTTCACAGGCTCTGGAACCAGAATGAGTTTGAATCTCGGCTTCAACTTGTGCTGTGTGACCCTGAAAAAGTTACATAATCTTATATGAAAATGGAAATACTAATAATTTTACCTACCTTATAGGATGCTATGAGGTTTAAATTAATTAATACATGTAAATTGCTTAAGACATGACAGCAGTGTGGTAAGTGCTCAGTTCATGTTAGCTCAAATTACAATTACTATTATTCACCAACCTAAATATATCATCTTTCTGTCTTACTTGGTCCTTCCCATGTGATATCTGCTCATTATCTCTCCAGTCTCTGCAAACAAGAACTTGGGACTCTTAAAACTACCTCAATCCATGTATTCTTGTTAAATCAAGAACCAATACCTAATGGTTTTACCAATGTAATCCCAAGTCCTTTCTTCCCTCTCTATTACGATTACCTATACTCAGGTTTAGGCATTCATCTCCTTTAAGAACTATAATACCTCCTATACAATTTCCCTTCCTCTGATCTTGTCTTCTTCAAATTCATCCTCAAAACTACCCACAGAACAATACACATAAAAAGTAAATTAAAACAAAAATGAAATGCAAGTCTGACCAAGTCATGGCCATATTTACAATTCTGTAATGGCAATCCATACACTTGCTTAAGTCAAAGCACAATGCCCTCCACAAACCTCTCTACTTATCTAATTCATTACTATATCTACCAATTTATCTACTTACCTAATTTATTCCTTTCAAAGCTATTGATTAGTGGATGCCCATAAAACCTACCATAGTATTTGTGCAGCCCTCTATCTATATTACCTTGCATTTCATTTCTTTATGAAAATATTCTCTTGGAATATTGGGTTTTATACTCCCCAAAGTCAAGGACCATTGCTTATATCTCTCTATATATTTTACCTCATTATTTTCTAAACTACATGTCAAAACCAATTAAATCAATTAAGAGCAACACACTTTGTTTTAAAAAATGAAATAGAATAAAAGATATCAGAGAGCACTGCACATAATAAGGATAAAATGCCAGTTATCAGTTTATTGCCTTCAGTTCCAGGAGATCTCAGCACCCTTGCTCAATAAATGGTGAAAAGCAGATGCAGCATATTCCCATGGGAAGCTTCTCTCTGACAACCCTTTAGGCATAGAGTGCCATCAGTGCAGCTTCTTCCCATAAACTGCTTCTCTATCAAAACCCAAGTGGTTTCCCAACAAAAGTTGCTTGAAGGACACCTCCCCATAAATAGCTTCCCCTAGTACCTCCTCAGGTAGCTTTGTAGTAGGCTCCAAAGCAGGGTACCTCTTCAGGAATGATTCCCCCTAGCATTCCAGAAAGCAATTTCCCCAGATTCTCTGTGAGTCATTTCAGTGTAGCATCTCAGCTAACTTCTCTATCAACCAGTGAGTCATGATAATGACCCTTCCAACAATGTCCAGATCTCAGTCTGGGCCAGAAGAAAGATGGTCTTCTAGGTTTATTCCTTCCATGGGCATTCCATCCCAGCACTAAGAGTAGTAGCTGCTCCCTATGTCTGCTATTCCTGAACTCATTTTCTAATTTTTTTAAAAAAAATTAATATAAATTCTGGGACACGTGCTGAATGTGTATGTTGATTATATGGGCATACACGTGGCATGGGTGTTTGCTGCTCCTATCAACCAGTCATCTAGGTTTTAAGCTGGGCATGTATTATGTATTTGTTCTAATGGCCTCCCTCCCCTTGATGTCTACCCCCTGACAGGCCCCAGTGTGTGATGTTTCTCTACTTGTGTCCATGTGTTCTCATTGTTCAACTCCTACCTATGAGTGAGGACTTGTGGTGTTTGGTTTTCTGTTCCTGTGTTGGTTTGCTGAGGATGATGGTTTCCAGCTTCATCCATGTCTTTGAAAAGGAAATGAACTCATTATTTTTTATGGTTGCATAGTTTTCCACAGTGTATATGTGCCACATTTTCTTTATCAAGTCTATTATTGATATGCATTTGGGTTGGCTCCAAGTCTTTGCTATTGTAAATAGTGCTGCAATAAACATACGTGTGCATGTGTCTTTGCAGTAGAATTATTTCTAATCCTTTGGGTAGATACCCAGTAATGAAATTGCTGGGTCAAATGGTATTTTTGTTTCTAGATCCCTGAGAAATCACCCCACTGTTTTCCACAGTGTTGAACTAATTTACACTCCCACCAATGGTGTAAAAGTGCTCCTATTACTCTGCATCCTCACCAGCATCTGTTATTTCCAAACTTTTTAATAATCACCATTCTAACTGACATGAGATGGTATCTAATTGTGGTTTTAATTTGCATTTATCTAAAGACCAGAGATGATGGGCTTTTTTAATAAGATTGTCATACACATAAATGTGTTCTTTTGAGAAGTGTCTGTTCATATCCTTCATCCATTTTTTGATAGGGTTGTATTTTTTTTTTTTTTTTTTTTTTTGGTAAATACTTTTAAATGCATTGTAGATTCAGGATACTAGACTTTTGTCAGATAGATAGATTTCAAAATTTTTTTTCCCATTCTGGAGGTTGTCTGTACACTCTGATACTAATTTCTTTTGCTGAGAAGAAACTCTTTAGTTTAATTAGATCCCATTTGTCAATGTTGGCTCTTGTTGAAGTTGCTTTTGGGGTTTTAGTCATAAAGTCTTTGAACATGCCTATGTCCTGAATGGTATTGCTTAGGTTTTCTTCTAAGGTTTTTATGGTTTTAGGTTTTATGTTTAAGTCTGTAATCCATGTTGTTAATTTTTTTCTAAGGTATAAAAAAAGGGTCCAGTTTCAGTTTTCTGCATATGGCTAGCAAGTTTTCCCAGCATGATTTATTAAACAGGAAATCCTTTCCCCATTGCTTTTATCAGGTTTGTCAAAAATCAGATAGTTGTAGACATGTGGTGTTATTTCTGAGGCCTCTGTTCTGTTCCATTGGCCTATATATCTGTTTTCACACCAGTGCCATGCTGTTTTAGTTACTGTAGCCTGTAGTATAGTTTTTAGTCAGGTAGCATGATGTTTTCTGCTTTGTTCTTTTTGCTTAGGATTGATGTTGCTATACGAGCTCTTTTTTGGTTCCATATAAAATTTAAAGTATTTTTTTTTCTAATTCTATGAAGAAAGTCAATAGTAGCTTAATGAGAATAGCAATAAATCTATAAATACTTTGAGCAGTATGGCCATTTTCACAATACTGATTCTTCCTATACATGAACATGGAATGTTTTTCCATGTGTTTATGTTCTCTCTTATTTCCTTGAGCAGTGGTTTGTGTTTATCCTTGAAGATGTCCTTCATGTCTCTTGTAAGCCCTATTTCTAGGTATTTTATTCTCTTTGTAGCAATTTTGAATGGGAGTTCACTAATGATTTGGCTCTCTGCTTGTCTATTATTGGTGTATAAGAATGTCCGTGATTTTTGCCTGTTGATTTTGTATCCTGAGATTTTGCTGAAGTTGCTTATCAGATTCAGGTGTTTCTGGGCTGAGCCAATGGGGTGTTGAATTTTATTGAAGGGCTTTTTTTGAACCTATTGAGATAATCATGTGTTTTTTGTCATTGGTTGTTTATGTGATGGATTATGTTCATTGATTTGTATATGTTGAACCAGACTGACATCCCAGGAACGAAGCTGACTTGATCCTGGTGGAGAAGATTTTTGATGTACTGCTGGGTTGAGTTTGCCAGTATTTTACTAAGGATTTTCACATTGATGTTCATCAGGAATATTGGCCTAAACCTTTCTTTTCTTGTTGTGTCTCTGCCAGGTTTTAGTATCAGGATGATGCTGGCCTCTTAAAATGAGTTAGGGAAAACTCCCTCTTTTTCTATTGTTGGAAATAGTTTCAGAAGAAATGGTATCAGCTCCTTTTAGTACCTCTGAAAAAATTCGAGTGTGAATCTATCTAGTCCTGTGCTTTTCTGGTTGGTAGGCTGTTAATTACTGCCTCAATTTCAGTACTTGTTATTGGTCTATTCAGGGATTCAAATTCTTTTTTGTTTAGTCTTGGGAGAGTGTATGTGTCCAGGAATTTATCCATTTCTTATATAGTTTCTAGTTTATTTGCATAGAGGTGTTTATAGTATTCTCTGATGGTAGTTTGTATTTCTGTGGGATCAGTGGTAATGTCCAATTCATCATTTTGGATATTGGTCTATCTAGTTTGTTAATCTTTTCACAAAACTAGTTCCTGGATTCATTGACACAGCTAGTGCTCAACTTACGATCACGATTGGTTCCAACAGACCGGTCGTAACACGATTTGGTTGTAAGTTGAGTAGGTTATATGTACAGTACTATGAAAAGATGTTACAAAAATCTTTAAGTCATATTTTATCATAATTTTCTTTCTTTATTGTTATATATCATAATTTTCTTTGTTCATTTTATGCCATTTTTATCATCTCTACACCATTTTGTTTCTTATTTTTACATTTGTCAGGTTTAAGTAAAACACTGCATTACCAGTACAACTAGTTTAATATTTGCAAAACATACAAAATTACAAAATACAGGTGCATACAAAAATACAAAATAAAGGTGTAAAAAATACCATAGGAAACATTTTCCCAATTGCAAAACATATCAAAATATATGTATGAAACATATATGAAACATTTTATGAAACATGTATGAAACATTTTATTGGCTGCTGGTGCTTGGCTGCGGATCATTGATGTCGTCATCTGAGGCAGCAGTTGGGGTTACCGGAGTTGTTTTTTTCATAAACATGGTGAGCTTTGTCTGAATTGTATGTTTCTTTTTTTCTTCATAAATTTCAAAATACAGACGAAACACATCATGCACCATCTGTTCAATCCTTGCAAATCATTCGATGCTTGGGTCCATTGCTTCAAAATGTATAAGAAGTTTATTCAGTAAAGATAAACCGTCTGATAATCCCTTAGTGGTGAACTTTCTTTCTGGCTCCTCCTCTTCTTTCTCTGCTTCTCTTCTTTCTTCTTCAACCACTCTTTCTTCTTCCAGTTCGATTAGCTCTTCATTTGTAAATTCATCAACGTTGAAAATCTGTTCTGCAAGATATCCCTCACCTGTAATTAAT